TGAGTGAGCGACAAGGCTCTGGTGTAACATGGACAAGATGCTTACCGATCTAGATGCATCTTGGTCTATCATGTAAAGCAAGGCCACGGCCAACAGCGCCCCCATCACTGCCTCACGGTACTCCTGCTCTACATGAATTCGATGCCTGACGCGGACAATGTGGTGCCTTACGCGGAGAGACCAGACCCATCGCAGCCCTAGCTGACGGCTGACGCAGTCCAGCGCTGCGGTCAAAGTTGGGGTTAGATCTGCGCTGTGGAAAGGTGACAACGAAAGCAAAGGGACTTTGGTGCTGAGAAGTGTCGATTTGCGAGAAAAGACGGGGCCTTGGCATGATCTTAGCATTAGTCTACCGGTTTCCTCTAGGGGGTCTGAAGCTGCATAAGCGATTCGTGCCTAAGACGGCCGTTTGGATGCCTTATGCGGTCGCAAAGCGAGCATAGCGATGAGCGCGACAGGCAATGCACAATGTGGCGCATGGCGGCACACTAGCGCGGGCATGCTACACTGCCCAGTTGAGCAGTCGCAGCGAACATTCGTTGGTTGTGACGTTTTCTTGAATTACATGGTGCTTGTGAACGTGACCCGGCTCAATTATTGTCTAAGCAAGAGGAAAGTACTCAGTTCCATATGTCTCGCCACATCTCCTTGAACCTGTAATGAGGAGCTTTCGGCCGTATGCTCGCAAACCAGGTGGACTTTGCTACATTACTACGTTTTGCTGAGTTGATGTCCGCTCAACCTGGGCGTTTGGCGGCTTGACAAGCTCAGTCATTCGTTCTGCAAACTCAACAAAACCCACCGCATCGAGCGGGATTGCAGGGACATTCACTTAGTCACTTCCGAAATGGTTCGCGATTCAACCTTCTCAAGAGTCCAGTCAGCTTGCTGACAGCGGTGCTACAAACGAACTGCAAATTGCAACTAATCTCCAGCTTCAGCTCTTATTTTCCGGACATTTTCGTTGCACAGACGGAACGTTTGCCCGAATGTGAGGTTGGCGGCAGTAATAGCTGTTCGGTAACGGCCCAGGTCTCTGCACGAATGATCCTAATGTACTCTGTTGATATCGTTGGCTTGGTGAGGGCCATTGCTGGAGGCACAGTAGGTGCTTCCTTTGGCTATCCTTCCGCAGATTTTGGATGCTTTTTGGGGGCGCCAAAATCACCTGCAGAACGTGCTCTAGAGGCCAGAACCTGCAACAACTACATGCGTACAAGCAGTATTGTACCATTACGTTCATCATCAAATCCTCGGAGCGCTTATGACGACTGATTCCAGGTATTCCCACTGTATTGGCATGTATGAGGGGAGGCAACACTTCCAAGAAGCCGATTCGGAGCCAATAATATCTTCGCTGGTCACGCGCCCAATTGGCGTGGATTCCGTCATAAGCAGCCCCTGCATTAACCTTGACCAATCACATGAGACTTGGGTCGTAGCGTTATGTTGTGCGACACCATGCCGCCTCACTTTTCATTCCTCCGACGTTTGAATACATGTTGGCAAATTACTTAGCCAGATCGCGGCGCTGATCAATGGCAGGCTCTTAGGCGCGGAACGCTTTCAAGCAAACGACTCACTAAGAAAGCATTATTCGGAACCTGAGTTGCCAAGGACGCCTCATAGAGTTACTTTGTCTTCTATTCCCCCCTATTTTGACTTCCCCCGATCATCTGTCTCTCCCTTTTCGTATTCTCTTTCTTTCATAAAAGCTACGGGAGTTGTGGATTCAGAGGCATCTTTCTCTATATATGAAATCGGAATATAAGTGAAACAGCCAGCATACCTCAGTCGACTACACACTTCGCCCCAGCGTCGATACCATGCCTCTTCATATTACGCAGAGGAAAGAAGGGATTTTGGCGGAGATCGAAGGGGACTTCCCCCTCGACCTGGCAATCTACGGAGGTAAGGATATCAAGCACCGACTACACCTCGCAATTTGATGATCGCTAGTCTGACTATTCGGCACCCAAACTTAGTTTTGCCAATCGGATCGAAGATTGTGACGGCCAAGTCTTACGAAGATTCGGTGTGGACCCAAACGGGGCGCATGACAGTTGAACTTCCCGACGGAGATGTGAAGCAATATTTCCTTAAGGTATCTTGCTTTATTTCCCAAAATACCTGAATACTCTTCACTTGAACCTAATGTTCACCATTGACTCTGGATGACAGTTAGCAGTCGCCGAAAATGGCCGACAGCTATGTCGCGGTGAACACTATGCCATTAGTCTCATCAACGCTCTTGTTCCCGGTATGGTACCTAGGGCCGTAGCCTGGGGCAAGTATTCTTTTAGCCCGCCAGATACTTTCTTCTTCATCGAAGAATTTCATGACTTAGACATGAGTCTTCCCAATCCCAGAAAGCTAGCGCAGCGAGCAGTTCAGCTACATAGCCAAGTCTCCCCAAACAGCAAATTCGGCTTCGAGGTTGCTACTTTCGACGGAATCGCTCCACATCCTGAAGGCTGGGAAATCAGTTGGAGGGTATATTTCACTCGGGTTCTGCGCAAGTCAGTAGAGACAGATGCCGCGGCAAATGGAATTTGGCCCCAGTTATCTAAAGCAGCCGAGCACCTCCTGGAATTTGTCGTCCCGAGTCTTTTAGACCCATTACAGCTTGGACCGAATCCTATTGAACCCCGTCTCATCCATGGAGATCTTTGGGGAGGCAACATTGGCACAGATGAAGAAACTGGCGAGATCATCTTCCTTGATGTCGGTTGTTTTTACGGGCATAACGAACTAGACCTCGGAATGTGGAGGCGATATGGTGCGCAGAACCTAGGTCAACGCTACCTTGACGAATACAAGCGCATATTTCCACCATCGGAACCACAAGAAGGTTTCGATGACCGGAACAGGCTTTACAGCATGAAGTTCGATCTCAATGCATCTGCTGGGACGCCAAACGAGAAAGCCAGAAACACGTGAGTACAATGCTGTTACCCCCATACACTTTTGATGCAATTCGATAGTTGTCTAATGGTTACGAGCTATAGTGCTTTCAACAACATGCTTTATCTCATCGAGAAGTACATCGACACGCCGGTTGAGGGCTTGTCGAAATATGATAAAACCAAAGACCCCTCTGCTGGCAGTGGTTACATATACGCGAATAAATAAGCCTCCCGCTTAGTGCACGGATTAATCCTTCAAGTAGTCTCAAGACTTTTTTCTATTTCCTACAGTTGTCCTAAGTGGCATCCTTCTCATAGCTCTCCGCTTCCTGTTCTTCGTGAGGTCTTATCAGGCCATGTTTGATGTCGATACAAACAAACCTTAGGATGTGCCATAGCATGTAATTGATGCGACCGTGAGCTGTCTATAGTTATCCCTTGATCCCCTAGTCGACAGAAAATGATTTTATCTCAATCACAGAAAGCGAACATGAGTAGTAATGCATCCTCGCGCACTTTTTAGTTCTACTTAATTCTTTTCGTGAAGGGGAGAGTATCCATCTGTATCTAAGATTCGTGTTTTGAGGAGTATATCCTCGAACTCTCCAGTTACAGCTGGACTCTGTAACTTTGACCTCTACTCGTGGTGCTCATCAAAAGTTCGATGAACTATATCGATTCGAGTTCTGAACTGGGATCTCAGAATGTACACTAGAAGCATTTTGTTTCGAATTGGGCAGTTCGCACTCATTTCTAAGAACAGTAAGACTCGCCACATGTTGACAGCGTCTTCTGTAGTGGCGACTGCAAAGGCACTCAGATAAAGTCATTCGAGGCATCTTAGATCCCGACAGATTCTAATTACCTTTCTCCCATCAATCTGAGCTTCATCTTACGCCTAAAGAGACCCGCAGGCTACAGTGTAAGTTGATCTTTTAATAGCACACACCTTGGCAAGGCGTTGCATGTCTTGTTCCAGTGGCCATACCACATTGAGGCGCGAAGTGTTGAGTAGTGACAAGTTGGTTATGATGCATGCGAGCAAGTGAGCGTGCATAAACGCACCAGTCAAAGTCGTGGATGTGATGAGGTGACTTGCATACATGATGCAAGTTGAGGAAGAGATTGGCAATTTTCTAATTTTAGCAATACGCCATGCGCTGATCAGACCACTTTGGAGGAACAAGTACTTGGCGGAAACAAGGACGCGGAGAAAAGGGAGGCAGTGTGCCGCTCTTAATTGTGAAGTACCGTGCCCACCTACTGATAGATCACAAAATCAGTGCATTCGATCGGCCAGCATAGTGATACTGCCAGATGGACTTCTCGGCTGGGCTTCTGTTGTTAGCAGGCAAATACAACTCGTACCTCGGCTCAAGTGCTTAGATTGTCATTGATTCAGCCGATTGCGCCAAATCTCAAATTCGTCGTTTGGAGAAAAAGAATTCAAACACCTTCTCGAGACTTAGTCCCGCTCCTTAATGCAATTTCGTACTATAATTTACTAAGACGCAGCCACATCATCTTCAGCGAAAACTTTTCTATCTTCAATCACCAGCTAGGTCAGATTGCTCTAGTGTAGCTGTGATCGGCTGCGGCCAATGGGGCTCGAATCTCATCCGAGTCTTCGCCGACTCTGGGACACTGAGCGCTGTCTTTGACGTCAATCAGGCCAGAGCCAATGATGCTGCGGAACTCGTACGAGCTACCCATAACCACCTCATACCAACTCGCGACTGGGCCAGTATTTTAGCTGATCCGTCTATCACCGCAATTGTGATTGCAACGCCTGCAACTTGTCATGCAGATATGGCTGTCGAAGTTTTGACTGCTGGAAAACACGTCTTCATTGAAAAGCCTTTAGCTCTAGCTGTTTTGGAGAGCAAGCGAGTACAAGCAGTGGCTCATCAGATACAAAGAATAGCTATGGTCGGTCATACCTTTCGCAACCATCCAGCCTATCAAGAGCTCAGGGCCCTTGTGAAGTTGGGAGTTCTAGGAAAGGTTTTGCACATTCAGTCGCGTCGGCTTGCCTTCGGGAGAATTCGTCATGATGAAAACGTTTTTTGGAGCCTAGCCCCTCATGATATATCCATGATTCTAGGTTTCTCCGACAACGTCGAGGCTGCAGTTGTTCAGACTTACGGGGAAAGTCTGTTACGCCCAGGCACCACTATCTTGGACACGGTCAACGCCCATTTCAAGCTCTCTAATGGGTCGAGCGCTGAAGTCCACGTTTCATGGTTGAACCCTCATAAGAAACGAAAGATGACGGTGATCGGAGAGGAAGCAACAGCTGTTTTTGACGATACAGAGCCATGGGAGTCTAAGCTTCGTCTGTTCAAGAACAAGATCGACTGGACGAGCGGTCATCCGGAGGCACCAGACGGCCGAATGGAGGTTGTAGCTCTGGAGAAGCTCGAGCCGCTCGCCATTGAATGCCAGCACTTTGTTGAGTGCGTTGGTACCGGCAAAGTCCCAAAGACTGATTTGGCCGAGGGCATAGCCGTTGTTAGCGTACTCGAAGCCGTTGAAAATCAGCTACGAATGCGGGTATCCCTTCGACAACCGAGCGCCTTGACTGCCGGATTACATCTATATCCGAAGGCAGAGGTCCTCGAAGAAATCCCACGTCCGACATTGCCAGAAAAGATTGTCAAAATCTCCATCATTGATCTCCAGTCTCAGATGCGCCGAATCCAACAGCCCCTTGAACGGAGGATGTCCCAAGTCTTCAATCACATGAAATTCATCATGGGACCCGAGGTGTACGAACTCAAAGAAAGACTATGTGCTTTGACAGAAGCTACGAACGCAGTCACCTGTGCAAGCGGCACCGACGCCTTGACATTGGCAATGTTAGCCCTTGGAGTTGGTCCTGGAGATGCAGTTCTCGTGCCAGCACTAACCTTCATAGCTTCTGTGGAGCCAGTGGTTTTGCTTGGCCCTGTTCCAGTAATCGTGGATGTGGAATCACAGACATTGACCATCAATCCGGCTCAAATTGGCGCAGGTGTTGCCACTGCACGAAAAGCCGGTCTTAGGCCTGTCGGTGTCATTGCTGTGGATTTGTTCGGGACACCCGCGAATTACAACGGTATCCGTTCTGCCATGGCTGAGTTAGAGGACGAGTGTCTATGGATTATCGCCGACGCTGCCCAGAGCTTTGGAGCAAGTGTTAACGGGGCGAAAGTTGGCACATTGGCCGATATTACCACGACCAGTTTCTTCCCTTCCAACCCCTTGGGCTGCTGGGGAGACGGTGGAGCGGTATTAACCAACAACCCGAAGACTGCTTCTATGCTCCGGTCTTTGCGCCTCCATGGGCGAGACGAGAAAGAGAAATATGAAAATGTCCACATAGGAGTCAATAGCCGACTCGACACCATACAGGCAGCGATTCTCCTTTGCAAGCTCGATATCCTAGCTGACGAGATAGCTTTGAGACAAGTGGTAGCGTCTCGTTATACCAGCCTGCTCCTAAACGAAGTCGACGACAACAATGGGTCGAATTCAACTCTCTGTCGGCCAGCCGCTCTGCCACTCGACGGGACCGTCTCGGCGTGGGCAGCTTACACGATTCGAACGACTGACGTGAAACGGTCGCATATTCGAGCGCGGCTGCATCAGAACAGCATTAAATCCGTCGTTTACTATCCCATTCCTGTTCATCAGCAGGCTGCCTATCGGAACTTTCCGGTCGCGAAAGGTCACTGCCCTGCAGCCGAGAGCGCTTGTCGCGAAGTGATCAGTATTCCGATGCATCCATATCTTGAAGCCAGCGAACAAGCGCATATCAACTCTTTGTTAGTGAGAACAACTTGAACGCTATTGCGTTATATGCACTTCATAGTCGAAATCATTCAATATTCCAATACATCACGACACCAGACGAAACAATATGTCCCGACCTCTACGCCCCAAGTGCCCTAAAGATGCTCAGTCTGCATTCATTGTGTTCGCATCTGTGTATGTCACTTTCACCACACTTGCACACACACCCTTCAATTGCCTTCTGCGAGTCAGGTATATCAAGGCCGCCGCCCCCTTGCTTGCTAACATAATGTTCGCTTGTCTTAACTTCTCTGCTAGACGAAGAAAACGGCCAGGGATGTGGACTACTTAGCCGCGTTAACATATAGTAATTAAACCAGGAACATATATGCACGAAGACGTATGACATCACAACAGCAGTGTCTAGTATTCCAACTCACTTGATAGCAAACCTCGTTAAGGGTCTCATACGTCCGGTCCCTTAGCAAGGGTCGAAACTTCCGCGCGCGACGGCAATAGCAAGCAAGGCCGAGGTGACCCTACAGAACCCCTCAACCCTCCCCGACGAGTTGAACCTAATCCACCTTGCCTTTACTAGGCATATACCAAATCACGGCTTTATCTTCTCATAAATAATAATCTAAGGAGCGGTTGTGGTATTGATCATAGAAGACAGTATCATGTTAGCTTATCAATCTAGGCCTAGAATTTATTTCTTGGGATGGATACCGTAGGCTGAACGATATGTCGTTCATAGCTCCCATGAACAATTAAAATAAAGTGTAGGCTCATCTTTCATTTGTTGTGAAGTACTTAGACGTTCTTGCTAAAGCTACTTCAATAGTGTATTCTGGAAATAGTCATGCTATCGACTCTTCCCTTTATCATTAGTACCAAAATGAGCATGGCCAGACTTACCCCTCTGCAACACATTTTTGAATTCTGACATCGCTTTTTCTCTGAGCGTACAAGTAGCCGTCGTGTTTCTTCTTTCGTAGCAAGGTCTTTTAGGGATTTCGAGTCGGCTTGGTGCCGTTGAGTCGCTCATATAGGTTTTCTCCTTGTAAACTCCAAGCCGCGAGTCCAGCTACTTTTTACAATTGTCCCCTCCATCCACCAACATAACACATTTATAATAGTGCTCGATCAGTACGGGTTTGGATTCGACGACAGCCATTTCTTGAATTCTAACCCATTAACATCAGTCTGTCACTTTATCGATGTTGCGCATATCTAGTTCAGATCGAGTCATTCTAAAGCTTCTGCAAATAACTTTTGTAGGGGTATCAATCAGCATTTCGCGGCCTCCATCAGGATATTAAGGGTACATAATATGCATGCCATTCAAAGTGCCGCAGCTACATCAGCGAACAGCCGCAATTTTGCCTCCCAGAGCATGGCCCCATTCTAGATCGTCATCTTGAACGTTTCCCAATATGTATGTGCGTACTTCTAGCCAGGTGCGCATCCAAGAATGATGTTGAAATCAGTGCGCAAAGATCATTCTTGTTGTTCACAAGCTTAATGACAACATTGATGAAGGAACCTCTGACTTTCTTATCTATTGCAATAATGGCTCTGCGGATCAGCAAAGACAAGGCTGTGAGGTTGTCGCTCTCGAGAATCTCCTTGATGGGGTGCTCTACCTGGATGAAGCTGAGGAACCTGCTGCCCATGGCTTCCGGGTGGACCGATGGCCGAATTCGTGTTCGGCCGTCGATGGCAATATTCAAGACATATTTCTCGCTCTCGTCCAGCTGGGCCGCATCGAACGGTGCTGCCATTATGCTCCGCCAGATCAAAGCTGAGAGAGCGTTGTTGGTCGATACATGCGATCCGTCTTCTCTTTGAGGCTGCGTGTCCTTCTTTATTCTCTCCAACGATTCTGGGGATAGATAGAGGATTCATCTGATATGGCCATCCGTTGTCTGATTGCAGATGTATCAATTGAGAACCAGCATCTTTAGGTGCAGAATTGTAATGATTGATGCAGGCTTTGGGTTTCACTGATCTCGTTGATACATAAGTATTTGACGTCTCTCCTCCCACCTCCGAAAACGCAAGTCAGTATCCCGAAACTTAAAGCTCAATCGTGCGACCTCAACAGATCCTTGGATTACTGCAAGGAAGCTCACAGGAGCACCTTGTCTTATCCCTGCAATGGTCGCCTAGAACATCATGTTGAATGTCGCCAGTGTTGGTGCACCTACGGATCCGCCACGCATTTATTTCGAAGGCTCTTCTCACTGCAAACAAAAATGAGGGCTACCACCAAGGTTGGTGTTTGGGTCTCGTTGGTGACTGGAGGAACCGAAGTGGTCTTAACCATGTTGGTGGTCAGGAAGATAAAGAGCGCTATGAGAGTCAGAAATTTTGGAATTGACTGGATGGAACGAAAACTGGCGGCTACCTTGGCAGGAAGAATACTTAAGTTGTTTGAATGAAGGATCCTATCAGGATTACGGTGTAGTAATTGTTTTGGAGAAGATGGGTATGACTCTAGAAACGAGAGATGATTGTGATTGCGCTATTTCTTATGCGCTAAAGAGAGGAAGAAGTTAAGCCTTTATAGTTTTTCAATTTTTGTTTTCGGTCCTTATCTAATTGCGATTGTTCGTAAAAAGAGCTGTATACATCGATGGCCCCAAGCCTTGCTCTGAAAAGAGTTTGTTAGAATCAAGTGAGGTGTCTTAACACACCTGCAGGGATTATAGTTAGATATGGAAGGAATATTGATCTGTACCTAGCATATACAGATTTCCCACACAAGGTACGACAGGCCACAAGTGTCTAGACGTCCCGAATTCAGGTGGATGAATATGACAGACTTATTTCTCAAGTTCTGTTGGCACTGTCCAACTCTGACCTTCCAGTGCGATTTGACCATAAGTCAATAAGGAAGAACGTTTCGGCACCGCTTTCAATACTCTGAGATCGTGGAATTCTCGGCAAACAATTGTGGAGATACGTCCTCCTTAGGTCAGGAGTAACCACCAACAGCAATTCGACCTTCCGTTTCTATCTCGAGAGTAGGCCATTGCTCGTTCCGACGGGCCGTTGTAACGACCATTATGTCCTAGCTCGCGAGACCTTCGGAGCCTCCTTTATCATACTCAGCAGAGAAGATAGTTCGGTTAGCTTTGCACGAATGTGATTTGCGAGGCTATGTCTCTCGATAACAGGCACCGAGTGGATGCAAGTTTGGTCTGCCAGCTTAGAACCCATCAACATGACATATCGACGCCAAATAAAGAATCTTTCAATACGAGAGAATATTTGGGGTTCAAATACCAGTCTTATTAAGCAGATACGATCCAAATGGTCAAGTAATGGAACAAAATTTCCCGGTCTCCTCCGCACCTGAATTCAAGGAAATATGAAATTGGGAGCTGGACTCGGCGTCCGTCCTCTTGTATTTCCTGATTTCAGCGATGGTCTAGGTGCAAGCACTCCAGCCTCCCACCGGCACAGACTTCCTGGTCGTATTTCATACCACCCATACTCTCACCACTGGCATTAAGCAGCTGCCAGTTTCGGCTGCCCGCCTTCTCGCATCATTTGATATTCCATGATACTGGCACTCGCAGTGACACTAGCCGTAGTTCATAAACTTGGGAAGAGGGGGGCACTCATCACCTATTGTCAGTAGCGTAGCACTCTGGGCTCCCACATTCTATCTGTTGAATTTCGAGCACTCGGTACAAGGGGTGGATATAGAAGACAGTCAGGACCAAACAAGCGGCCATTCCACTCAAAACCTTTACCTAGCGGTCCTTTTGGGCTTCTACTACTTCGTCCTCTTTCCTTCTCCATACGCAGAAGTCACAGACGCGATATTGGCCCTTACCACCAAAGGTCCGATCGCATGCTGACGTATATACCATGGCAATTAAACTGAAGCTGAGAATGAATAGATGAGGTAGTGAATAGACTATGACCTTCGTAGAATATCGCCGGATGCTATCCTTTCGGCTTTTGCGGCGCTCTCTCGCTCTATCTAGAAATCAAAAGAGTGTGTCGAAGCCACTGAATGAGACAGGCCTTCAAAAAGTCTCGTCCAACAACCAATCCGTGTACGGCTGACCAGTCAAGACTCGCGAGACCAAGTCAACTATGACCAAAACTCCAATATGGTCATCACGTCACTGCCTTACTAAGACAAAGGACGCATATAAAAGTGCAACATCGGCATATTTTCTCCCTCAATACATTTGAAACTGCATTTCCGGAAACCCCCAACGAAAAAAACATCTTTTTGGACTGCGTCACCACCCCCGCGCAACATGGCAGCTCCAGCTGATTATTCGGTTGACCCCTCAACTAACCCGGCTTCTTGGCCGACCCCGCATCAAACTGTCGAGCAGGCAAATATTAGCAAAGTTAATGTTGACTTCATTAACACAAACACGATCGGCGACTCGGACTTTCACAGCCTGCGCATCGGCGCCGAGGGACACGTTCCTCTCTTGCGGCAGGTGAATAGGCACGTGACTCGTGGTCTTTATCAACTGATCAGCCTCAATATTACGGAGTACTCGTGCGTGATGGTTGTGTCGACGGTGAAGACGCGGAACGAACTATTGGAAGAGGGCTTTCCATGGGACAACCAAGACCCTCAGCTTGAAGCAGCGCCAGAATCGATTCTAATGACCACTCCAGTGCTCTACCATGTCAACCTGCCGACCCATTGCGACCCGATTAGATGGCCGAACGGGACCACAGGGTACATCGACATTAGCAAGGTTGACATAATCTACGTTAACGTGAACGGCGATTCGGACTTCTACATGCTACGCACTGGCACCAATGAACACGTTCACCATGTCGTCACGCAGGTGACTAAACACCTGGCTCGTGGTATCTACCATTTAATCAGTCTTAATGCGACGGAGCACTCGTGCGTGGTGGTCATATCAACAAGAAAGAAGAGAAGTGAACTATCAGAAGGAGGGTTCCCGTGGGACAACAGAATTGGCCCTCAGCCTGGAGTTGGGTCGAAATGATATGTTCCGTTGTGTGTCTGGATCTGAAACAGTCTCGACATGGCATATGCTGGAAGTCTGCTTTACAACACAAATCGGTTGCATACCTAGTTAAGTACTAAAGAGAAAGCAATCAACATTCGCATCACAGTCCTGAACCAAACACTATACTGATTGGTCCCTTTGTTGAGTTTTTGTTGATTCTTGACGGGTTCTTGATTCAGCAGTCATAGTATTTTGAGTAAGTAGGTCATCTCCCAGCGCTACCCGTTACGCTGCGCGTTACTGCCCCTTACTACAAAAAATCAAGCCACTTTCTGCATAGATGGCTCCTACTTCATTCTTGCTTTGTGATAAATCGCACTAGGCATCTTCACAATCATCTCCAGGATCGAAAAATTACAAGTCTGAACTTAGTATCCTTAACCAAAAGGGTCAACTTCATGTTCTCTTTGGTTCGTTTCGATGACGCGGGCTGCTCCCCAAGTTCCCAAGGCACCCGATGGGAAATTATGAATGCAATGTTTGTAGGGTCTCCGGTAGATAACATTAATTTGCCCGATCTTAGCAACCATGCATGAAATATTTTCTTTGCTTACTTTGTATTAGGTGGTAAAGAGAGTGATGTTTCTCAGCAGGTCCGTCTTTTACCCCCTATCACCACGCCGCTTTGAAACATTTTAGACCGGGTCGAGGCCTGAGTCTCTAATGATTCCCCATCAGAGAACTTGATCGATGTCCTTTTGCAGATTAATTAACTGGTCGAGAAGCTAGATGGTCAATCCATAGCAAAATTTCCCATCACCCCGGTTGTCAGTCCGCATTCACGAAATCGGCTGCTCTCTACACATTGTCTCCATACGTAGATATGATTGCTCAGTAAATTTGACTTATGAAATTTTCCGTGCACGTTTTTAGGGTGGTGGTTCAACTATGGACATTCTACTACTGGAGTATGCCACCGAGGCACTTATGCATTGCGAGGGTCGTTGGGAAGTCGAGCGCCACGAGCCCCGTTCGACTTGCTGTGCAGGATGTGCGATGGCGTAGAGGTTTCTGAAGTAGACAATTCCAGGCTTACCGAAGAGAACACACTTCCCAGGATTGAAGCAGGAACCACACACTGTCTTTCGATTTTGGTATACATCCCAAACCCCAGATGCTCTTCCATTGAGACTTGAGTGTGCGTGCCACATACCTTAGCCCTCAGGGAAACCTACCTGAGTGGTGGAATGAATATTTGGTGGCGTTTACCAAGGCTGGGCAAACTATGTTTTGTCTTGGCCTTCGGCCTAAGTCGACCGAGGTATGCCTTGACCTGACAAATGGAACCCGAGGGATTCCTCGTCATCTCCAACTTGCGTAAGTACCTCGGTTTAGTGTCTACATCCGACTAACAACGAGGACCTTTGTGAGAGCAGAATCAAGTGTCACAGCTGCTTCGGTGCTGTCACGCATGTAGAGGACACAGATATTGCTGAATCGGCTGTGTCCGAGTAAGGTACCTAATGAAGTGACAAAGTGTCACGGTCTGCTCAGACCATATGCCAGCGTGCGGATAACAGGTTGCAGTCACCGTCAGAAAAAGCGGGGTATGAACCAGAACTTCGGATCGGAAGTGTCACCTCCACCCCCCGCGTTACCCCAGCAAAAGTCCCCAGGCGGAGGGCGCATCAGGCCAATAGAGTCGCATAGCAGTAACAGTTCAGTCAGTCGTTGCCCGCCCTTTGTTGCGCAACATTGACTTTAATTCCACTTCGTGTCTAACCGACCCAGCACAGGCTTGATTGAAGACGCCGCATGCAGAATATGTCGCTACTTTGCCAAATATACAACTCCTTCGGGTGTTTCTGCAATGATACCGGGCTATCAGGCAGCGACAGACGTGGGCTAATCCATATTAAGTGAGTGAGTCCGATATGAAATTGCAGCTGCGGCGCAAGCGGCTTGGGAGCCAAGGGAGCCAAGAAGCCAAGACAACCTGGGCAGTGCGCTGGGCAGGCCCGACAGAGAGAAAACAGAGTTGGATTCGCTGAATCTCAAGACGAACCGACATCAAATGACTTTGGGTATGTACCCTCACCATTCGCAGCAGAGCTCATGTACGAAGAGTACTACCGACCTAGGATTCAAGGTTCCCTACACAAAGACGTCGCTCAGGACAGTACGATGCTTGAATCGCTTTTCGTGAACTACAACGTCTGCACTCTGATCCTTTTGTTAAGCTGCTGCATGCAGGCGAGACACGGGCGCCATTGTACAATCAGCTTTTGGGTTGCAGTGCATAAGCATGCAGTGGTTCGTCCAGACACGCGCAAGCTGCACCACACCGTATTGAAGACAGACTGGAACGAGAGGTCAAGATCCTGGCCAATTCTTCTGGATCAATGAGGCACCTGATCCACCGGCTCAAAGGAGCTCCTCCTCTAGCCATTTTTTCATGGCCTCGGTCGAAAGATACCCCAGGATATTGTGCTCTTTCCCCGCTTCGTTTACGCATTCCCCAAAGAGACGGTTATAAACCCCATGGGGACCGTGTGGGGAAATTGAGTTCACGCAATCCAGACTCGGGGTTGAACTTGCGCGAATAACCCCAGCATTGGGGGCAGGTGGTTGGAGGACACTCCTTGGCATCTTGGCAACCAGGGGAGCCGGTCCGGACAATGGTATTCATACCTGCAAATACGCAAGTGCTTATCTTCCCCGTGTTCCGCTCCTCTGTTTCCCGGCAAGCTTCCTGCCTTGCCTACCAATATCACCTCCCGCTGTTATCTTTACACAAATCCTCAGCATAGACAAGTAGAGTGTCAAGATGGCCGACAACGAAAAGGGACTGCCTGAGACTTTGGCTAAGGCCCGGTCCGGGTCCGTCGATCATGCAGAATACGGCACATACACTCCCGATATTGCTCTGATCCAAGCTGCCGCGGCCGCCAGCGAAGAAGAGACGAGGCTGCCCCGCAAGGAGCTCATATCACGATATCTGCCAGCTGCCATTTACAGCATGCTCCTGAGTATGGCCCTGATCATGGAGGGCATGGACGTTGGTCTCGTCAACAACTTCTTTGGACAAAAGGCGTATTTGAGGAGGTTCGGTTGGCCAGATGCCAATGGCAAGCAACACATCCCGACATCATGGCAGGCTGCCATCGGCAATGGCAACAATTTGGGAAGCATCATCGGACTGCTTCTGAACGGCTGGCTTCAGTCTCGCTATGGCTCCCGACGAGTCTACATGGGTGCCATGGCACTCATGGGCGGGACAATCTTTTCACTGTTCTTCGCAGTTAACGTCCAAATGCTTTTCGCCGCCAACATCTTGTGCGGCATTCCCTGGGGCATCTTTCAGACCCTGACTACTGCATACGCTGCCGAGATTTGCCCTGCTGCTATGCGAGGATACCTCACCGCATGGGTTTCCATGTGTTGGGGATGTGGCTCCTTCCTTGCCGCCGGTGTTCTCCGTGGTTCACTGGGACTTCAGGGAGACTTGGCATGGAAGATCCCTTACGCTCTCCAATGGGTTTGGGTGGTGCCTCTATTCACTGTTGGCTTTTTTGCCCCGGAAAGCCCATGGTACCTCGTTCGCCGTGGTCGCATCGAAGAAGCCGAGAAGTCGCTACGCCGTCTTGCACGCAAGAACTTCTATACTGAGCAGACCATGGCTCAAACATTGGCTCTCATGAGACACACTAACGAAATGGAAAAGATCGAGTCAGCTGGCGCCAGTTACCGCGACTGTTTCCATGGAACCAACTTGCGCCGCACAGGCATCGTGGCCATGGCCTGGCTTATTCAGATTCTCAATGGCCAGGCCATCTGCGCCTACGCTACCATCTTCTTGCAATCAGCCGGTATGCCAGAGGTTCGAGCATTTGACTTCAGCATGGGTATCCAGTCAGGCAATATTGTGGGCACCGCCATTGCCATTTCCCTAATGGGCAGAGTCGGGCGTCGCGTCTTCTTCTTCTGGGGTTCCTCAATCATCGGTCTCCTCATGCTCGTCATTGGCATCCTAGGCTTCATTCCAGGGAAGACCAATGTTGCTCTGGCTGTGGCTGTCGTCATGATCATTGTTAACCTGACGTTCAAACTGTCGCTGGGCCCGACAACATACACCATTGTGGGCGAAATGTCCTCCAGTCGTGTGCGTGCTCAGACCATTGTTCTCGGACGCGCTATCTACGTCGTGGGCCAAATCGTCGTACAGCAGCTCAACCCTCGCATGCTCAACTCTAGCAGTGACTCTTGGAACTGGGGTGCGAAGACTGGCTTGTTCTACTTCGGACTTTGCTGCCTTTGGGCTGTACTGATCTTCTTCTTCCTCCCTGAGACGAAGAACCGCACATTCGCAGAGCTGGACTACTTGTTCCAGAAGAGGACTCCGGCTCGTCAATTCGCGACCACACCCGTTGATTGTAGGTCAAACTTTTCTCATATTTTCATTTCACTTAGACTTCAAAATCCTCCCTTCATGGCTTGCCTCCAGTTGAACCTGCTAACGCATCTCATCGTAAAGTATTCGAGTTGACCGGAGGCGATACCAGCGCCAAGAAGCTCGACGATGACGACCTCAACAGGAACATTAGTGAGCTGCACGAGAAGAGAATCTAGATCATGATTCACGAGGATGCTATATGTCACTCATGTATATCGATAAGGTGGATCCGTAGTGGACTATTGAATAAATACCCTAATTTGATGCAACACCATTCGATTATTCGCACATCTCTCAAGTTTTGCCTTCACGTTGGCTAGGCCGTGAGCAATTTTATTGTATCCATCTGTCTCCTTCTAGGCAATGCATCCATAGTCGCCGGTTGATCACGTTGGCTCAACATAATAGCGGCCAGCGACGGTTCACCCTGCAAACGTCTACCCACGTCGAGCTCCGTAACGTGTTTGCACCCGCATCCTGGTGCCTCCAAACCTCACACAAAACTTCACTCGACACACAATAGCCTTTCCATCCTGACTTAGTGTAGGCTCTGTTTAGCCAAGAGCTGAACTGCGCCCTCCTCTCTGGTTTCGTCGCTTCTGCACCAGCAATGAAAGCTGGCCAAGCTGTGCCTGGCCCGAGCAACTCATTTCGACTCAAAGCATCATCAAATCCTTCCAACGCCTCCATCACCTCATCGACACTTTCTTGAAGCAGCATGGGATTGATGTTCCGGATCCTGCGATAGAAAAAAATCGTTAAGGCCGGGCATAATGCCCGCACCATATGTACATGAGGCTTCTCGGTATTCAAATCTTGCTCGTACTGTCCGTGGTATCTTGATTTGAAGGCACACACAGCTTCTTCTAGATAGGACGCCTTTGGTTGTAGTGCTGCCATCTTGATGGCGTCAAGTTGGCTTTCATTTGGCGCAAGATGGTCCATAACATTAGCTAGTCGTGTAATCTGGGACACAAGTCTCAGCCAGGTTTCGGGCACTCCGTATATCTGCATATACATGTCTTCCTGATCCTGTATCGAAGTTGCTAGATGTATGTCTTTGTTGGTATCTGTCATGTCATCGTTGATGATATTGTGGGAAGTGGTGTCGGGATGAAGCTGGAGTGGTTCCAAGTGGAGGAAGTTATCCAGGGTAATTTCTGGGTAAACCTTTCTCAGTTGCTCTGCGCTTGAAATAGCTGGCCTGAACGACGCTATTCCAGCTTGAGACTGATCGTGCGCAGGAACATGGTCTTGGGCGGTGACCCAACCATCGTTGATGCCAATTGGATCGAGTACTGGTGCTTCATCGTGGAAAGTTTTAGTGCTTTCCGAGACTATCCTCATCCAGGCGTAAATGTTGTGTAACAGTCGTGCTCGACGTGATAGCTTTGACTTTCGCAACCCGCGAGTACGGATTAGCCTCTCCATTTCTACAAGATATCGACATGTATCTTGTTCGTTACCAGATAATAACTAATCGGAGTTAGCAGAAGATCGAATCAATAGAGAACACTTACGGCGGTTGCAAGAATAGCTGCGGCGGCCATCAGTTGTTCTTTGTACTTGGCTTTCTTTGGGGCGGCAGACTCCTCCTCCAAGCTGAGCTTCAGGTGGAACTTGGCACAATCGTATGTCCTCTCAGATAGACGTTTCCAGTACCCTTCGGGTTTCTCCATCTTTGGGAAGCTCTTTGAATTGAGTGAAAGATGGAATGCGGATACCGCGATGAGGGCGTAAAGGTTCGACAAGTTGGCGTGTCGAATACCGTGACTGGGTAGTTTAAGAATAGTAAGCTGGCTGAGTGTGACGATGGCAGAAGGAAAATTCAAAATCCTCCATGCAGACTTCTCGTTGATCGGTAGCGAGCCCATTTGGTTTATGACTTCATCGTAAAAGTGTTTCAAAAGTATCGGAGCATCCGCAACTAGATCATCGTTCAGCTCTGGAAAGACACTAGGCCGTACCCTGCTGAACCCTCGAGTTTCCGTCATCTGCTGGTTGATCGTTTCACCAATTGTCCAATCGTCTAGGATAGTGTGTGGTCCATGGTTGGAACATGAAACTTCGTCAATGGAGTAGCCCGGAAGGGGAGAATGGTTCACTTCGGCATTCCGGGTGAACAAGTCCCCCCATTGAAGGACTTCTAGAGAGCTCGAGAGAAGCTCGTCAAGAGCGTCAGACACGGTGAGATCATTCAGAATGAGACCGCAGCTTCCGGCGACATCGGCCGTTGCGAAATCAGTGGCTTGCATAGACTTGCCTAGGTTCGATGGTGAGACGGTGCCTTCCGGAAAAGACAGGTTGTCGCATTTGTTGACAGCGCGTTCCTCCACCACTGGGATACTTGTCTTCGCACCTAAACCGACTTCGGACGCTCCGTCTGGAACTTGATATACTCCGTGAAACACATTGAAAGGACCAATGGCAATTTCCATTTCCTCCCTAGATTCCACTGATTTGGACTCGTTCTCGATTTTGGAAATGGCTTCGTTGACTGTAGAAGGCAAGCTCGCAACGAGAGAAGTACTCATCATCTTTCTCAAATCATCTGTTCTCCTTCCTAGTCAGCTTCAAAATATTCATGTTGAGGTCATAGAGGCCCTCAGACTCACCAGAATATAGGTGACGCCGAGAATACTGTGTATCTTCGTTTGCAGGATGAACCGCCGTGCTTAAGTCATCTGGACCGTTTACTAGAACCCAGCGGAGGACCGCTTTAAAATCGCACTTCAAGCCTGAGATGCAACATCGTTTACACCTTGGTGTGGCCTGGTCGCATTTCAGGTGACGTTTCCTGCATGTCTTGCATCCTTCAAAAGAGTGTGTGCTCCTGGACCTTGACGTGTGCATGATGCAACCAATAGGTACTATACGAACCAGGCAATGCCGTCGACCTCTCAAGGACGGACCGCGAGCGGCTGTTCGTTGGAAAGCAAATAGCAAAGGTTGGAACGGCAATAAGGAAATGTTAATTTGTCGATATCCTCCGGCGTTTATAGGGCACACACAGGCAGCATGGATTCCGGGGCATTGGGTTATCTATTTTATACCTTATGTCACCGGCTAATAGGTCCGTAACATGCGTAATATCAGCAAGCTTCCGCGAGAGCGACTGGCAACAAGTACGATGCTTTTCGTTAGTTGCTGCCCCAATCGCAATTGCACTGCTGGTCAAGATAATAAGATTTATCGATGAAATGCGAGAGACGATCGTGGACCATTGTGATCATTTTCTCATTTCGTACAAAATCGGGACTAACGTTCAGCTACTTTACCTGTGAGATTTTGACAATCTTGATTATACAGTAGTTACATGGAACAAGAGGACATAGGCCAGATTGCTTGTAACTCTCCCGTAGGGTCCAGGCTAAAGTGGAAAGTGACCCCGAAGCTATCGCTGGATTGGGTTAAACCAGCTCCACACACCCGAGAGGGCCGCATCCTTGAGATCTCGGCAGCTTTGCTCTGTTTCCCAAGCAGAGCCTATAATCGTCCAAACAACCATCGCTGCGATATGAGCTAGCCAAATAGCTTCGCAATTCTCCTGTTGTTCCACTCCCATGAAGTAACATCATCATAATGGCATGGGGTAGCTTCGGTGACAAACTCCTTGATGGGAAGCAGGGATGCAAGGCGATTCGGCTTGACGAAATACGCAATGGAGTATCGTTCGGGGATCTCAATATTGTCGCCAGCTTTAATTGCCGGTGGATACGTGACACGATGGCAAGCAGCACGGAATGTGTCATTAGTCAGGCGTTGAAGAGAGTCGCCAATGTTGAGGATGATGTCGGTGGGTGCCAAGGATTCCACGCTCCGGAATACGCCAGGTTCGTTCTGGTCCTCCACTTGAAGACCTCCCACGGAGTCTTGAAACAGCATGGTGATCGTTCCAAAGTCGGTGTGCTCGGCAATGCGCGTCGCTGTACCGTCCGCAAGCTCCATGGCGGGAATCGCCGGATAATGAAGAAGACGAAACTCGTTCTCCGCACGATTATGAAGTGCCCTGAGGTAGTCTTCCGAAACACCGAGAGCAATCGCAAGAGCGGACAGAAGGTGCAATTCGGTTTTGTACGCCTTCTCATAGAAGTATTCCATGAACTTCCGGAATCCAGGAAGGCTCTCTTCAGGTACCCAAAGATTGTCTACAAGATCGTCGTGCGAACTGCCCATGTCCAGAGTCTCCTTAGCAACTTTGTTAGTCAATTGAGCATATGGCGTCTCCTGCCTGGCAGTATGGATTACCTTTATATCGCGAGTCTTGCCTGGCCCTAAGCCCTTCTCGTAGCCACTGATATTTGCAACATTCTCTTGCCCAACAAAGCTATATCCTCTGTTCGGATTGGCTTGAGGCGGGTGCTTGGCTTTCATCTTTTCCTCATGGGGCAAAGCAAAGAATTTTCGACTCTATTGTGACGGTCAGCCTTCATGTCATCTACTCCATATTACTTTGAGCCTACCATATCAAATAGTTTGTGTATGTCCTCTGCTGGTATACCGTGATTTTGAATCTTGACGCCGCCTCGCGACTTGAGCAACCGAAGTAGCTCGTTGCAAAACTGTCGTTTCTGCTCCTCTGTTCCAAAGAACAGAGACATGTCGAGTGTAGCACCTTTGTCGTCCATGATTGATAGTATAAGCTAGGCTTGGGATACACGCCAGTATTGAGAAGTTCGGGCTGGCTTGGAGGCTGATCTAGTCTGACCGATTTGGATGAGGTGAAAGGAAATAAGTTCGACTGGGAACGTCGAGCTATTATATACTGTTTCTCTGTACACATTATCGAGGTGATATCTGGATCTTCATAGCCATGTTTTCTATTTCGTTAAGTAAAGCCGAGTCGAATGCCCACACAAGGGGCTATGCCAGAGTCGCAGGTCAGTATCTGAATTCACCCATACTTTAGGTGAAATATGGGCAAATATCCTACGAAACAGCTTTGCGATCTTGTTAGATTGCAGCCGGAATTCGCCTATCAGTTTTGGGCGTGAATCAACAAGCGCAAGAGAAGCCGATGTTGGACTACCTTAATTGTCGGAAACAGCGTTGTGGTCGTTCACTTTCAATCCCTTTGGGATACCTCAGTAAAGTGGGCCGGAGCAGACCCAGCTAGGTGGGCAGGAGAACCCGGGCCCCGCAGGCCAGCCAGGTCCGATAAGGCGTAAAAAGCGGCAAGTGTGCCCGACATGGGATTCATCTTCCCCCAATCTCGATGTTGTGTGCCATGTGCGACTTTAGTCCCTTCCCGTGAGGGCTATGTTCAAGTCTGTGTTGTGCCTGTCCGATAAGCTACGCCCCCATTCGCCCTCCGCACGTTCACAACAGCAACATCCACAGTGGGTTGCTGCCATAAGCAGCAAAAGCATCTCCATGTGCAATTAAAGGTCGTGAACAATACGCATTGCTCCGAGATCAGAACAGCAACTTGATCAGGTCTATATAATGATGATGGTATCTCGCTACAACCAGAGACAATTCAATCCTATTCGCAGACTAGCGTCCTAGGCCATTTCATTTGCGAATGAGGAATGAGGGAGCAACTCCGGAAAGATATTGGTGAAGAATCACAGAGATAGGTTTCGTTCAAGCTTTATCGGAATTAACGCTCTCCAAGTATGGTCCAGTTCTCTAAGAGTATTGCCGGGCTTCAAATCTGAAGCTAGCTGCTTATTTTACTTGACGCATCAAAAGTATAACTACTCTCGGAAATATATACTCAAAATTGGAGACTGAAAACCCAGCTTTTCTCTTTGGCTAGGGCCATAAATTCGGATGTGTTCCCTAATTAGGAACTATCATGTTAATTGAACCAGCCTTAGAGATAAGTACACGATGAATGCAATGGCCTGAAATGTTTCGTGTATTTGCATGATTGATAGGCGTGAGCTAAGCGTGGCATGATCTGAAAGGATTCGCTCGGTTACATCATCCAGTGATTGTCGCAAGCCAAGCAGTCGTGTACGATGACTTATTTGTCTTACCTGCAAGATCCTCGATTTGAAGCATTCCTAGTCATCACCAACGATGTTACGTAGCGTGTATATGCTCATTTTGCAGTTAGTGTGGCTCTGCCTTGCCAGATTTATCGAAGCTGCATTTCGTTGAGGTGGTCCTGAGTAAGCAACAGCAGTTTGTGGCCCAGTTGATGCAACCAGACTAGGTAAGTCCAGAACCGGGGATAGGGCTCGTATTCGCAATGCTTCGTTACCCGATCTTCGATAATCCATCTCATGGAGATGTGGAAGCTTGAAATTTTGTTTTGACTACTTTCTTTTGTGACCTGATGTTTACAAATACGACATGGCGTGGTTGCGTAAAACACCGTAACAGCTAGAGAGACTTGGAGTCTAGTACCTTGGGGTTTGAGATCTGAAATTGTAGCTACGGGTCGTCAGCGTCGCTTAGCTATGACAAGCCTTCACGCGTCTTCTGTTTGGCTCGTCTCACATAGGATCCTGAATATTTCGGGTGTTCCGGAGTGCCCATACTATTAACAGATTTGTGAAGTGTGGCGGAAGCCCCAATACGAGGCGGCACATCACAATGGAAGTCCGCTTCCTGCGTTCTCCCTTGGTGTGCAGATTCACTATCACTGGTCTTGTGATGCGTGCTTGTGACTACGAGGAGGCTCGGAATGTAACATCTCGTAAAACGAGGCCCGCAATTGCATGTCTTTGATCGCAGATTCGGTCACTGCAGTTGAGGGTCTCTACCCTTGTGATGTCTCCCTTTTAAGAGCATAATCATCCACGACTAGGCTGATGAAGTGTTCGGAGGGAATATTTAATGACTTGATTTCCCCGTCACTCAACTCATCCTGAACATCACACCATTGTCATTCACTACTTCCGCAACTTCCCACAATTTATTCGAAGCTCTGTAGGTGTAATCCTAGTTCAAACGACATTACTTAGCGCGAAAACTACTAACACGGAGCTAGGACACAATGCGCTTCGCAACTCTTACGCTCATCGCTCTCGCGTCAGTCGCTGTGGCTACCCCGGCTCCCCAGGCTGGTTTCCCTCCGGTGGAGGATGTCTTGATCCTCGACTTCTCTACCCGACACCAGCCCGATGGAGCGGTAGACAGCGTCGGCCTTCACATCACCGCTCATGATGCCGATAATCTCTATTGCGGGCTTACCGGGGAGGTTCTTCTTGGAGAAAAACATGCTTGCGGCAGTAGCAAATACAGCTTTGCCCTTGTAAAGGGGGTCTATGACACCTGGGGTGTTCGCATTTATCATCGCTGGGGTGTTGCGTAAGTTTCCCTGGTTCATTTCATCTTCTTCTATATCATCCACTGACTTGGAGTTCAGAAGCGGCGCCTCTGGCTACAGAGATGTCCCCACGTACTGCCACGCGGGTCCTTTGGGCTCTACGGTCTGCACCAGCCAGGGGCCTGTCAGCCTGTACATTGATGCTGTGCCGAAAGATTGGTAAAAAAAGGAACAAGTCTGTCTGACGATCTCAGATTGTTTGTTGAGAGAAATCTCACGCGATTTCTTCAAATCACAGATCCATCATGAGCCCTC